ATATATATATATATATATATATATTACACATACATACACACACACACATATATATATACACACACATACACACACACACACACATACATATACTGCTGTTTGTGTGTATGTGTCTGTGTGTGTGTGTGCTGTTAGTGCACTGTGTGAAGGTGCTGTGTGTGCTGTTAGTGTGATGTGTGTGTGAGGGTGTTGGTAGTGTGCTATGTGGGTGAGGGTGCTGGTAGTGTGCTGTGATATTGATGTCACATCAGGTGAATCGGCATCTGAAAGTGAGACGCAAAAGGATTCTAGTCCTTTTTTAGAAGGTCCAGATATAAGAACAACCACGAGAAGCCGCGGCCAAGGAGGAGGAGGAGGAGAACGAGGAGGGGTCATAAGGGGAAGATCCACGACTCGGGAGAAACCACCTCTATGAAGGTAACCCCAATCTTTAATTTGTCAAAGAGACCCCTTGATCCCCAAGAAATCGAGATACTAAGCCGTGGTCTCTCCTTTGTGCCCATCCCTAAACCTAACCAATTTAAGTGGAATACAGAACTTTTTAGGTTTGGGAGGCAGATGCGCCTCAGAGAATTTTTCCATAATCCTGAAAGATTTACATCTACGGTCCAAAATCAAGAAAAGCCTTCAAGCTTCAAGATTAAATCTCTTTTCGATCCATACACAAATAAAGCCTCAATTAAAACTTATTTATCTACGGTTAACCACCTTGCACAGGAAGCGATTGGAACTTATAGATGTCAACACAAAAACATCACTGCCCAACAAATAAAATGCATTGATAATTTGGCCAACGATCCATCAATTATCATCCGACCGGCTGATAAGGGCGGAGGAATTGTTATTATGGACTATGTACATTATGCAGGGGAACTTAAACAGCAACTACAGAATGATACAGTATATCAACTTCTACGAGGTGACCCCACGGATAGAATAAAGAAGATGATTGAAGTCATTCTTAAAATGGGTGTTGAATCAGGCTTCATAGATGAACAACTCAGTAAATACCTCTTGAAACAACATCCACGTACGCCCATTATATATACTCTTCCAAAGATCCACAAAGATCCTGTTAGGCCCCCTGGAAGACCAATTGTTTCGGCAGTTGAGGGACTGTTGGAACCCATTGCAAAGTGGCTTGATTCACTATTTCAAGCCCCTATAGCCGTATTGGAGACGTATATAAAAGACACACCTAGTTTAATTATAAAATTGAAACAATTAAATCTGAAAAAGGGCACTACAGTGTTGATTACCATGGATGTAGGTAGCCTTTATACTGTAATTCCACACAACCAAGGCGTAGAGGCTATGAGAACAGTCCTTACGACATCCTCTACCTATAAAGGACCACCCATAGAATTTGTTCTTGAACTCCTCTCTCTTGTGCTCAATAATAACTACTTTAGATTTGAAGAGCAGTGGTACCTTCAGATCTCGGACACGTCCATGGGGGCGGCTATTCATATACGAACGGCATTGGATCTTATCGAAATTTGGGCAATATATTCAAGGCTACTTTAGATACATCGATGATGTGCTGATTTTCTGGAGCGGTAGTGTTATGGAGGCTATGGAAATGGTACAATTTCTCAATCAAGCGGAGAGCACCATTAGGTTCATGGCAAATATCAGCCCGGCCTCCGTCCAGTTTTTGGATTTAGAGATAGCCATCAATGAGGAGGGACTGGCCTACCGCCTCTATCAAAAACCTACGGACCGTAACACCATCTTACATAACACAAGCGCACACACACATACACTCACACACACATACTCAGACACACACTTACAGACACACACACATAAATTCACACACATACATACACACAGACACATACACTCACAGACACACACACATACATTCACAGACACACATACACACACACACTTACAGGCACACACACATACATTAACAGACACACACTGACAGACACTCACACACACACTTACAGACACACACACATACATTCACAGACACACACACACTTACAGACACACACACATACACTCACAGACACACATACATTCACAGACACACACATACAGACACACACTCACAGACACACATACACACACACTTACAGGCACACACACATATAAATTCACAGACAAACACACACATACACTCACAGACACACACATATACACACACATACATTCACAGACACACATACACACACACACTTACAGGCACACACACACTCACAGACACTCACACACATACACACAAATTATTTTTTTATTATTAAACATTGTCCACCCAGCCTCCCTACCTGGAGAGCTGGCGTGGACTTGTCCCTGGGGTCCAGTGGGTCGGGCACCTATCTCCATACAACAAGCGGCGAGGGAGCTGTGTGCTCTCTACTTCCTCTTGCCGTGCGGGCTGTCTGCTGTAGCTGGGTGCCGGAATATGACATCATATTCCGGCTCCCGCCATCAGCAAACGGTGCGCGGCGAGAGGAAGCAGGGAGCACACAGCTCCCTCGCCGCTTGCTGTATGGAGACAGGCGCCCGACCGGGGGGGTCCATCACCTCTTGCTCCCCCCCCCATAACAGGGGGAACACGGGGGGAGGGGGAGGGCATTTGGGGGTGGCAGAGTGCCTGCAGGAACAGCGGGAACGGCATTCCCAAGCGTTCCTGCAGGACTCACAGGCGTGCCGCAGGGATTATGGTGTGCCCAGGCACACCCGGCACACCCCGTGCGCACGCCTATGCCCCCTTCATTATATTGTAAAGCGCTGCAGAATTAGTTGGTGCTATATAAATACCAATAATAATAATAATAATAATAATAATAATAAAAAGTAGGACTCCAATCTGCTTCACTATTAAACTTCTATTGGTATAAGGAGTAAGGGAGTAGGACGGACCACAACGCTTAGTCATAGAGCGTCCAGGGTTTGTCACTTGTCCTATTTTATTGATATTTTTTTTTTAACTCTTTGGCTCAGATTCAGAACACATCCAGATCAATTTGAAAGCAGTTTGCTATGTTTCATATCTATAGAATTGGCTTATCCAAATTTAGAATACAATGGAAAAACATGTTCCGGTCAAAATGTCCAAGCAGGAAAAAAAACAACTGAATTATAAGTATTTGTTCACTTTTACTATTATGGCCTATATTTGTCAACCTCTTGCCAATAAATTCCAACATTGTGAAATATTTTGGCTGGACTATAAATTGACTTTCACCTTCAGCTGTGTTAGAATTTAATATAGAACTTTTGTTCATTAATACATTTACTTGCACGATATTGTATTTTTATTGTATTTTATTCTGGAACTCTTATACCTAAATTTTGTTCATATTTTGTACGTGTTGCTGTGGGATCACACACGTGTTCAGACTATACTCTGATCTGTAATATCTTTGTTTTCTTTTGTTTTATGTGCCAAATTCAATAAAGATTTATAGAAAATGATAACTTAAAAAGAAAGTCCAAAAAAAACAAACAAAATCAAAGCTATTATGAACTATTATAAAGCATAATAATAAATAATATAATAATTAAAACAAAACAAATAAAACCAGAAATATAAAAGATATTAGCTAATAATAAATAGATTATACAAATAACAGATGTAGACCATAAACAAAAATATTCAAACGAATATATGTAATAAAATGTCTATATGTGTGTCTCGTATATTTTTATATCCAGAATATTCTCCTCCATTGAACTGCTGCCCCAGTAAAGATGATTAATATCCAAATCAACTGAAAAGCCTAAAACAAGAAATTATGGTATTTTCATTGAACACACCAACAGGGCTATTCATTATATTGAAATCTTTTTAAGAACTCAAAATGAATTGGATAATTTAAGTCCAAAAGAGCCTTAAAAGGCACATGAAGTGCCCCAAACAACTTTAGCACTTTAAAAAGAACATTCCATTCCATATATACGTAGACTACCCTGTGGACACCTTGGGGATGGGAAACATGACCACTGTCCATGCAAAGAAGGCTGGCGTAAATAATGGTACAATGTTGCAAAGGATATGGAGGCTTCTTAAGACAGGGTAGGGGGGTGGGGACTTACCAGTCAGCAGAAGACGTTGAAAGATCCCTCCTGAGT